CAACCACTACACATGCATAATTTCTGGAGGATTGGCTTATTGGACATTATGCCGAACCTCATAAACTTATGGTCAAACTTGTTGCAACACTTGATATAGTCCTTTCCATTGAGCAAGGAGCCCCTTAGATAAACTACATACCGTAAGATGCGGAAAACAAATTAACACCAAGTCATCCACTTTGTACTTTGCAAGTGGATGATGATGGGAGTTGTAGCACCGTTGTTGTCCCACTTGTATGCGGCTTAAATGTTTAGCAGACTTTACTCAGACAAATGGAAGAATGCTCGTCAAATATTAATCCCATAACTTAGCATCGGTAACTCATGGTAATTGTGAAGGTAAATCCAGCTCTGTTGGTAATATTGGATTATGATCATATAGGAATTTATATGGTGAAGTATCAACAGAACTTTGCACCCTTGTGACATATGCATACCGAAGCAACAGTAAATAACCATTTCAATCTGAATGCTAAAAGTTCATGTACTTACAATTATTCCTTTAAATGTCCAAACGTGCCATTTCACAAAACCGTCTGACTATGGATAATAAACACTCGTGAAAGTGTGGTGTATCCCCAACCTAGATGTTAAAACATGAAATGCCTTAGCTATAAATACGGGACCTTTATCCGAAAGAATCTGTTCCAGACAAGAATGTTGGAACACCACTTAATTGAGGAGGAAGTATCCAACAGTAGTTGTAGAGTCACTAACAAAAGCACAAATTTCCATATAACGAATCAAATAGTCAAAAGCAATAATAAACATATTTATTATGAATAGTCAATTGTGGAAAAGGTCCCATAAGATCAAACACCACCAGCTCAAACAGACAGGAAATTACAATTAACTCTAACCATCCTTTTGTGGTACAAGGGGGAGTATTACAAGCCTAACACCAAATGCAGCTATGCACATATTAGATAATATCATATTACATATCTGTCCAATAGAAAGATCTGTGCAACTTCTCGGTCATACGACGATGTTCCATATGCCCATTTAGAATAGGAGAATCATAGTAAGCATGGAGAAATCGCAAAATAAAGACAAAAGGCACCACCAGCCGTAAAGGATCATTAGGAATCGTCCCCACAAAATAAAGAAGGCTATATTTAAAGCAATATTGAGAATGTAAATGCTGAAATGGCAAGTCATTAGGAAGTGATGCAAGATTCTTAAACCCATCTCGAAGCCTTCAAATCTATGGCTCAATCTTTTAAGCCTTGCGAACCTCATCAAAAAAAGGTAGATCTTGCTCTACACTTTATAGACACTGAACATTAAGTACAGCAACTGCTGACAGCACAGAATCTTTGTCAAGAAAATCCATCGGTGCTGGAATAACAGGCTCATTAAAAACATGAGAAGAAAGTGAAGAAGCAAAAGGAGCTCGAGAAAGGGCATTAGCATCAGCCATAGAACTCCCTAGGTGATGAACAACATCAAAATCATATATCTGAAGCTTCAAAGCCTACTAAGTAGTACAACCAACCAGGTTCTTTCGCTTCAATAATGAAGTGACGGCAACATGATCACCTTCTAGTAATGTCTGAGAACCATGTAGATATGCATAAAGTTTCTTGAAACCCTAGACTGCTGTTAAACACTCCTTCTCTATCATGGAGTAGTTCACCTCTGCCGGTTGTAATATACAACTTATATATGCAATGGGATGGTATTGACTAACACACTCGGGCTCTCTTGCATTAACACACGTCCAAAATCAATATCAAAAGCATTCATACATAAAATGAAAGGTTGAGTGTAATTAGAATATGCCAGAACCAGAGGAGTCATCAATAGTTCTTTGATATCCATAAACGCCCGCTCACAATTCAGAGACCAAATAAAAGATGACGTTGATGACTTTAGCAACGCTCATAATGGTGTAGTGTGATCAGAAAGATGATCCACAAAACGACCAAGATACTGCACCTTACCCAAAAAGTGTTGCATATCATTCACACACTTCAAAGTAGGGAACTTTAGAACAGTTAAAAATTTGTCAAGATCAACTTGCAAACTCTCACGAGGAATACAGTATCCAAGATAAGTCGTGTCTTTGGACCTAAATACGCAATTCGACCACTTCAACTTTAAACCAACTTCTTGTAGCTGATCCAACACTTTACAAACATCACAAATGTGTTCTTCCCATGTACCTTTCAAGCGGATCAAGGCATCATTAATAAAGTCAATAATCACCAGCATATTGTAAAGAACCTCATCCATCATTCATTGAAAAATTGTTGGAGCATTGTTCAAACTAAACAGCATCACCAAAAACTCGTACAAACCAAATGGTGTATGAAAAACTGTTTTAAGAATATTTTCTTCGGCCATTAGTACTTGCTAGTACCCAGAAACAAGATCTAGCTTGGTGAATAAACATCCCCAGACAATCTAAGAGATCATTAGTGTGAGGAAGAAGGTACATATCTGGGATTGTCACTTCATTTAATGGACGATAGTCGATGTAGAAATGAATACTCCCATTAAACTTCGTAACAAAATGAGGTTCACATGCCTAAGGACTCTGTAACTTTCAAATAACACCCTTTTCCAATATCTCCTTAATGTTTGCACATAAAATCTTAATCTCTTTGGGCGATTGACAATAAACAAGAAATTCAAAGAGATCGACATACTTCTTCATGAGCTGGTCAACCATAACAATACAAAGGTCAAAAAAGTATGGAAGTGAGAGGAATGAATGAAATATAAGGAAGTATGAGACAAAGGGGAGAAGCTTCAAAGTCACACTTGGCATGATTACACTGCAACTAATCTATACCAAGAATGAGGTCAAAAGCTTGACTCGACACCACCTGTAATAATTGCAACCCAAGCTCGAGATTGCCCACACACATAACCAAGTTTGTCTCATCCCATGCACATGCATGTGTATGGCCGTTGCCATAAAGAATGAAAATTAACCACCACTCGATGCAAGTGTAGACAGCAACGTGTGGTAATAGGTCAAGCAATAGAAGATAAACTCAAACTTGTATCAACCAACACAGAGAAAAGAATAAGAGACCTCTTGTTATAAAAATGAGTTTGGAAACTAAACAGTGGATGAATTGGTGCCGAGTGAACCTTTTGATAATACTCCCTCGTTACTCGTGTGACTCCTCGTTTCCTGAATGCATCTCGGTGTTCAAACCTTCCACTGCAATAGCACCAACAGGATGTTGTTGACACCAAGGTCTCCACCTAGGAAATGGAGGTTGTCAATCTAGAAAACACCGGCAACGCCAATAAATGTGACCAACTTCATCACATGCTTAACAGTGAATGCTATAGCCATGACCATGTCCTTGCCCTTGTTCTTAGACTCGAGCAATAGCAACATCAACCTCCATTAGAATAGGACCATTACCCACAGAAAGTGGAGCGAAAGGATGTCCAATAAGAAGAGGAAAATGTGACGTCTCATAACGTTGTGCCAAGTGAAGAGTATCATCAAGGGTGGCTAAAACAAGTGCATACACAAGTTTGACAACATCTTGATGAAGTGCTAGCCACAACATTCCTAGTTTGATCTGCTTCAACATATTTGGCTTTATACGAAGCAAGAAGCATTAGAAACAGATGCCAAATTACATCATTAACTCAGATGGCCCTTGACGAAGACGATGCAATTGTTGGAAGGCATCATCACAATTGTCAGCATGTCTGAATGCGTGTTTGATTCAGGAGAACACTTCAATCCCCACGAATGGCTACACTTAAACCATTGTACCATTGCAATGTTGTCCTTTAGAGACAGGTGGGAAACTCATGCAAACGTCAAGCATCATCCCAAGAATTATATATGGCAATCACTGTGAAGTGATTGAACTAATAGTACATATCATCCTTAGGATTCCCATGAAAGAACTCCGATCAAACACGAGGATTGGCACCAAGAGCAGGAGGAGCTATACCACGTGCCATGAATGTTGCCATCAATTGATTTTGGTTGTTCAATTGCAATTGCATAACATCAAGCAATTGCACCAACTGTTGCTTCAAAGTCAAAGGAGGAGATTGTTATTCTACCATGAAGATGAATAAAAAAAAAAGAACAAAAGAAGATAAATTAGAAAAAACTAGAAAGAAAAGGAGATTTAAACAAAAGAAAAGCTAGATTTAAACTAAAATCCTGAAAGGAAAAAACAAAAGAAAGGAAATGGAAAAAGCTAAATCTAAATGATGCAAAGTTAGATCTAAACCAAAGTCCCAAATCTAAACACTCTTCAGGGATAATGAAAGGTACCCCTCACTTCCACTAATATGAGTGCATGGAATATGGAAAGGGAATACAGAAAATGTGCATATTAATTAACCCAAAAACCCTAGCTTATATACAAGAGTGAGTAGTC